ACCTGGGCTGACTCTTGGGCTCATCCTGATGGGTTAGAAGCCACCCTACCCTCTGGGATCTCACATTCTAGAGACATCCCCCCACGTTCCCCCAATGTTCATCCAGTGGCAGCATCTCAGGATTAGAGGCCAGCTTTCCGGAGTCACCCACCTGGGCTCAAATCCCCAAGTAGTGTGACCCTGAGCAATTTACTTAACCTTTTACCCATCTGAAAAATGAAGATGATCATAGAACCTACCTTATAGGGTAGTTGTGAGGGTTAAATGGGTCAATAAAGAAAAATACATAGCGTAAGCACTCAGTAAGTATCAACTATTATTATTACTGCAGGTTGCAAGTGCTGTAAGAGCTGGCTGTGGCCTAACTCAGCCTGGGGACAGCAGGGAAGGGTTCCTAGAGGAGGCTATGCTGGTCGGAATCTTAGGAAATAGCAGTTAGCCAGGAAGCCAGAGGAAGAGGGAATAGCAGCAGCAAAGACATAGAGGTGGAAAATAGGTGGAAGGTTGGGGAGTGGGGGACGTACAAAGCCCTTGGGTGTTGCTGGAGAGTGTAGAAGAGCTTGGCTTTTAGATGGAGGGCTCTAGAACCAGAGCTACTGAAGAGTTTGGAACAGAGGCACGACATGTCTTTTGTTTTTGGCTACCATGCATGCAATGGCTTGGGAGTCCAGTCTGAGAGATGATGAATCCTGAGCAAAGGGAGATGCAAGGTCAGTGGAAGGTGGGCACGGATTCACAGCTATTAAGGAAGTAGACCTGGCATAATGGTGACCTATGGATTGGTTGCAGCTGGAGAGGGCAGAGTTAAGAATGGACAGGACAATCAGGTTGTTGGCTTGGGCACTGAGAGAGTAGCAGGGCCAGAAGAAAGTCAGGTCTGGGGGTGGGGAGAAAGGTGATGAGCTATGAGTATGTAACAAGGGGGAAGAAGGTGCTGCCCAGCTTGAGGACATTTGAGTGTGGAGCCTACACACATGGACTGGAAAGTCCAGCATGTGCTTGGATGGTTACAAATCCTGCCATGGCCTGAGAGCTGCCCCAGAGTCAACAGAGGACAGGGAACCTCACCAGGCCACATCTTCCTCTACTAAGAAAAGGATTTAGGCTTCAGAGTTCCAAGAAGGATTCTAAGAATTCTAAGCTTCATTTCCCTGGGGCCAAGTAAAATTTGTCCAAAAAAAATTCAAGAATTCTGACCTAAATTCTATGTGTGCCATTACCTCTTTCTGAGATTTTGGGGTTTTGGAGGATGGTTTTGGGTGAGGGAGTGTGAAGGGTATAAGGAGATAGAATGTTGTGCTGAGCTGTCCCAGCTCTGTTGTTTACCAGCTGTGCGGTCTTAGGCAATTCTTCTCATCAAACCTCAGTTTCCTCCTTGCTACCTACCATGCAGGATTATAGTAAGAATGAAATGGAATGCTGGACACAAAGGTCCCGGCGTGGCCTCTGGCTATCTTTGTTAAATATACAAATTCCAGGAGTTTCTTCAAGACCCAGGAAGGTGAATTTCCATCAGTGGGTCTGGGAAACTACAGGTGAAACTAGCCCATCAATGGATCAAAGCCTCCGACTGCCACCCTGGGATTCCTCTGGCACTGGTCTCTCCTTGGGGCGGTCCATCCCTAACGTTTATGGCCTGTGGCAAGAGTTGAAATGGCTGTCCCTCTTCCAGGTTCCTCCTTCTCTTCCCATCTGCTTCATTCCTTCTGCAAAAGATCTTGTGCGCAGACTCAGGCTTCATGTCTAAGCTCCCAAGCACACCTGCCTCCCCAAACAACTTCCTTGTCCACCACTCAGGCCTAAAGTTGCACACACCTGCAGCATAGCCCACTGGGAGAACAGACTCAGATCCTGGGCGCATGCTCAGGGCCCTTTGGGCAGGAATTCCAGATCCCAGGTACCTGGAGCATGATCTAGAATGATAAATTTGGACTCCAGGTGGGCATGCCCCCTTAGCCCCATGTATACCTCATCTTGTAGGGAGAAGTGGGGCTGGAGGAATGTGTAGGGGATCCCTATATAATAGAGTTCAAAGCCCCAGGCCTACGGGCTCCCCTGCCTCTGTTCCCATCAGCCCCTCCCTCTGGTTAGCCCACTGGTTCCCAGCAGCTGTATCGTGGAGGCTGCCGCCATTTGTCCATTTGCCTGGTCCCTACCCAACTGAGGTCACCTCAGACTGCCTCCAGCCTCTGCTGGCCCTGAGAAATACAGGGTTCTGAGGCCTCACACACAACCACCTCGTGGGCCATCACTACCTATATGTGCCATCACTACCTATATGTGCCCAGTCCCTGGCTTGTCATGGGAGGTTCGATTATTATTCTTTAAAAACGAGGAAACAGAGGCTCAGAAAAGGCAAAGGAGGACTTAGTATTATAGAGCACCTACTGAACGTCAAGGGCTGAGGTAGGTGCTTTTTAAAGACATGACCACACAACACCCCTGTCAGTATTATCCCCAATTTACAGGTGAGGACACTGGCTCAGGAAGGAGAGGCAACTGGCCCAAGGATCTACTCAGTTAGTAGGAGACAGAGTCAGAAATAAAACTCAGACCGGTCCTACTGCAGAGCCCCACCCCAGAGATGCATAGTAGGCCTTCAAGGAGTCTAGCCAAGAGGAGCTGAGGACAGTTGGACACCTGGGACGGTCATCTCCAGTAAAGGCTATGGAATGTGAGGAATGTTCACCCCCCCAGGCAGGGCTGTGGACAAAGTGACCTTTGGGAAGATAAAGTAGAATTCCAGTACTGAAAAGGAGACTGACTGAGGTGGACCTGGAGTGGTACTGCCAGAGACCAGGACCAGCTGCAGCCGGACATCCACCCACCAAACCCTCCCTGAGCCAGGAGTTACAACTGGGGCATGTGACGCAGGGAGACACTGCTGCACCTCAGCTCCTGCTGTTCCCTCAGCTGGAATCTCCTTTCTTCCATTCTGCCAATGACACCTCAGCTGCCGTGCCTCTAACCCTGTCCCCAACTGTTACCTGAACATTTTCACTTGGAGGGCCCTGGGGAATCTCAGCAATAACTGTCCATAACTAAACTCAACATGCTCCCTGACTTCCTCCCACCGTCCTCCCTGGGAATGGCACCTCCATGCCCCAAAATGATTGCTCAATGTTAGGGTGCTAGCCTTGCCTCTTCCTTCTCCCTCTTCCTCCATCCAAACTCAGTTTCCTAATGTCTCTACTTCTCCTTGCTGCCTCTGACCTCCAGTCTCAGACCCTCTAATCCCATCTCCCTATGACATCAGGGCAGAATTGCCAGATATAACAAATAAAAACACAGGACTCTCAGTTAAATTTGAATTTCAGACAAATAATGAATAATTTTTTTAGGAGTCCAGTCGCTTGTCCACTGCATCCACCCTTCTCGTCCAGTGGCTACCCTCCACGCTGCCCACAAGCAGATCTACCATTCGGAAAAGTACTTCAACGAGCACTGTGAGTACCGGCATGTCATGTTACGGAGAGAACTTTCCAAACAAGTATCCCAAACTCAACTGATGTCCAAAGAGGAGTGGAGGAGACTTGTGTCCAACAGAGTCTTGGCTGGTTGGGTTCATTACATGATTCATGAGCCAGAACCAAATTCTTCCTTTAGAAGACCTCTTCCAAAAGATCAACAAAAATGAAGTCTATCTGGGGATCGTCAATTAAATCTTTTTCAAATTTAATGTCCCTGTGTATATAAGGTAGCATTCAGTGAGTACTTGAAAAATGTACAAATCATTCATCCATACCAGTGCATGAGCTGTATTCTTCACAGCAACAGAGCTCAGTTAAATGCAGCTGCAAGTAGGTTACTGTAAGGTGTTTAAGATAAAATGTATTCTACTTAGTTTTTCTCTTAATATAAGTGCTTATTTGACTTTACCTGTTACATTTGTTGAGTAGAGTTTGTAAGTTGCAATTTTTAAAAACTATTCGTTGTTTATCCGAAATTTAAATTTACAGGGCATCTTATATTTTACCTGGCAACCCTAAGCTGGAATGTACTTCACTCCTTAAAACTGTCCATTGGTTCCTTGAGGAGTGGAGGATGGAGAAAACTCCCATGCTTTGAGCACTCGTTCCCCACTGGTCCTTCTCTGCCTATCTCCAGCCACCTTTCAATTCTCAGAAATCACCTTTTCTAGGAAGCCTTGCAAACAGCCATAGACTGGGTTAGGGGCTGCTCTGTACAATTAGAGGCTACCGTACTCTTATCAGAACCTAAAATACACTGCATATCCCCCATCAGTAAGAGCTCATGAGACCAGCATCTTATCTTTTGTCCACTGTGTTCGCTCCTTAGACCCTGGCACTTCATGTGGCACTTAAAATAACGTGCTGTGGAACCCTGGCTAAACCCATTGCCTTCTCTGCGCTTCAGTCTCTTCATCCATATGAGAAAGGGTCATCGAAAATGATCTGTGAGGCTCATTCCAGCTCTGATGCCTGACCCTCACTTTGACCCTGGAGATCCTAGGGCAGGGCTGGCTAGGCACTCAGCTTGGAAGAGGACAAGCTCCACCTCTGCCACATGTGGCCTCAGGCAAGTTCCCACCCTCTCTCAGCCTGCCTCTTCTCTGCCAGGTTCTAACTTGTGAGGATCACACTGCCTTCCTGAAACAACCTGGTAAGGTTGTTAGGAGGTTGAAGTCAGAGAGGTAAGGCATGCAGCACAGCACAGGGTGGCCTCTGAGGCCCTCAGGGAAATGAGATTCCTGCCTGCTCTTCCCCTCACCTGGGAGGCCTAAATGCCCTGGAGGGAACCTGGAGAAGCAGCAAGAGCTCCAGGGGAAGGAGGGTGGGTGGGAGGGAGAAAGAAGCTAGGCTAAGAGCTTTCAGGCAAGACTTTAAATCTGGTCTCCATTTGTTTATTTATTTATCTTTAAAGGGCCTGAGTACCTTCTCTAAGAGCCAGGAATCAATCTAACTGACAGAGACAACCTGAAGTCCACAGCCCATTCATTTGTGGGGGTTAATAGTCAGCCTAAATGGGTGATAGGGAACATGCGGGTAGAGGGGGAGCAGCCTCAGGAAACCTGGGTCCAAGGAGACACCCAGGGTGGGGGCTTTGTCCAGATTTACTGTTCCCACAATCTCTGGACTCCCCCAGCCACCCCAAGTAAACACGCAGCTTGAATGAGAACAGGGTGCTCAATGTCTTCAAGACAAGCTCTTCCACCACCCCATTTCAGCTCCCTTTCAACCAGTAGGCTCATGAGGCAGGAAAACCCTGGCAGGCTCCTGGGACCGGCCCTATTCTGTGACCACGCACTTCAGTGCTTGGACAGGGCCTTCCCATGGCTGTTTCGGTCTCCTCATCCGGACAATTTGGGGCAAGGACTAGAGACCCTCTCTTCCAGGACAGGCAGTCCAGGGTTCTGGAGGGTGAGACTGCAGTGAGTAGCTCAAGTGCTATGAGCCTCCAGGAAATGAATTCTCGCCTCTGAACAGGAATCTTAAGACAAGGCTCTCACGCCACCTTCTTCTCTTTCTGTTCTTCCCTGTCCCTCTCCTGCCTACTTCTTCCTCTTGTTCTCCTGCCTGTCTCTCCCAGCCCCTGCTGAATTAGCTTCCGGTAGCCCATTAAATCAGGCCTGATCTGACCTCAAGGCCAAAGAGGCAAGAAGAGAAGGCAGGGAGGGAGGAAGAAAATTAGCCTTCATTGAGACCTGGTCAGCTCTGCTTACCTTTGTCTCCATTGTCTCCTGGAGTCCCTCAGCTACCCTACAAGGCAGAACCTGTTTTCAGGGGAGCAAATTCGGCCTACAAGAGCCTAGACGTTAGTCCCAACAGACATCACACAACTGATAAGGAGTCAGCTTTCATGTTTCCTCTCCTCATTCTAGGGCTCCAAGGAGACCACAGAGGAAGAAGACAGTCTCTCACATCCTGAAGCTGTGAGTTCTAGTGAAGGTCATTTAGGGCTTGAAGCCAGGCAGAGTAGGTGGGAGAGCTGGGCTGGCCAGTCCCTGTCCCAAACAGGCTCAGCCACCTGAGGCAAGTCACTTCACCTTTCTGAGGATCCCTTTGTCCACTTAAAATCTGCCCTGGAGCAGCCTTTGTCCTCGAGAGAAAGGTGATAACTGCCTAGTTTGGGAGCAAAATGATTTTAAATGCTGGTTCTACTCTTTCCTAGTTGAGTGACTAGACAAGTCACTGCCTCACGGACTATCACTTCCCACCCCTGTGAAATGGGGGTGATAAGGCCACCTGAAAGGGGCTTTCTGAAGATTGGAAGAGTACATAGAAAGGACAGCACGGTGCCTCGCACCTCGGAGGGCTTCACAGCTAGTGGGCCAGGGGTAGAGAGAAGCCCAACACAAAAGCCTAGTGACTGATCTATGGGACCCAGGCCTACAAGGTCCCCACTACCTTGCTATGAGACCAGGCAAGTGGCTTTCCCCACCTAGAGGCCAAAGCACTCTTGGGCTTGGAAGGGGACTAGAGACTCATATGTGTGACCTTTCGCCCTCTTGGGCCCTCGGAGAGCAGACCCTCAGAGAGCAGACCTTCACCCATTCTATTCTGTCCTGGCCCTTACACATCCATTCTGCTCCATTATTCCCCATGCAGTCTCAGGGCTCTGTCATCACCCCAGCCCCCCAAACAAAAGGGACATTTGACATTCTTTGTCTCCTGCAGACTCATTCTGTGATTGTAGGACCCAGCAGGCTTTGCAGCTGGGACCTGCCACCTTCCCCCCAGTCCTGGCCCAGCTCTCCAGAGAGCTTTGCTCTAAGAGAAGGAGGGAGGGTGGGAGGGGCCTTAAAGGAGCAGAGCCTTCTCTCAGTAAGTGTTCCCCATCCCAACCTTTAGAATTGTCAGGAATGAAAGCAGGTGGGGGAGGGAGACAGGTGTCCAAGTAGGTATTTGAGATTGGGGTCCCAGCTAAATTGGGGCTAAAACCTAGTCTTCTTCTGGCTCCCAACAGAGGGCTCTTTTTACTAACTGGTTTCTTAGTATCTTTTAAAGGAACTGGTCCCACCCTTGCTGTGATTTGCTATGTGACGTGGGTGAGTTCTTTCCTCTTCTGGGCCTTGGTCTCCCTTGTATAAAATGAAGAGAAAGAACTGGAAGATCTTTCACATATGAGATTTCCAAATCCAGACCCTGGACAGGGTCTGGGATAACAAAGACAAACCACACTCCCAGAATCTAGTTCTGGAATTCCATCAGGAAAAGATCACAAATGACTCTTGATGTGAGAATATGTTTCGATGAAAGCAGGACCCCCGCCAATGGTGGAGAACTAGTCTCCCCTCAGATTGATACAGTTTTGTACCACCTCCAAAGCTCTCCACTCCCTTCATCTGTCTATAGGCATGTGAGACAGACAAGACCCAATCCTGTTCTCCTTCAACAGAAAATAAGGCTGCAGGCACACAGAGGGCAGGCCCTGACCCACCCTGGGAGTGGAGGGTCTAGAAAGTGCTGCCTGGGCTGAATGGGGGAAAGGTGGGTATGATCGATATTCTGGTCAAGGGACCCACGGGAGCAAGGGAGAGGGCAGTGACCAAACGTGCTGTGCTATAGTTTGGCTGGCTGGAGCTGCAGGTGTGCCTGAGAGGAGTGGAGAGGGGAGGCCGAGGGTCTTGGCTGCCTGGCTAAGGAGTTTGTCCTCTGGGTGCGGAGGAGTCAAGGGGGGCTTTTATGCCAGGCAGTGGTCATTCCCTCCTGTTGTAGTAAAGCGAATGAATGGTGGGGCTCCAGATGGAGACCAAGGGAGCCAGGACAGCTGTACACTCAGGTGCCTCCCAACAAAGGGGCCTTGGAGCCTCCGGGGGGAGGGGAGTGGAGCAATTCCTCCCGGGAAAGAGGGGAAGTGAGCGGGGAGATGAAGCAGGGGAGAGGAAATGAAAGATTAAGTGCATAAAGGCCATAAAGCTCAGGAACGTCCAGGCCGGATGGATTCCAGTTTATAGATACATTTATGTCCAAGGATGTCCACCCAGACCTGATATCCCAGCAAGAGCAGCCACCCAGGGAGGCAGAGAGGACGCTAGGCTGGAGGGGACCCCTTGTGCCCTTGTGCTCCTCTCCTGTGCTACCCCCCCCCCCCCCCCCCTACCCCCACTGTCCTCGGGCTGGCTGACAGCCCAGCTGGAAGCAATTGTGGGAGCCTCCAGCCTGGAGAGCTGCATCCCACAAAGGGCCCTGGTAAATAGCAGCCCACACCCCAGACAGCCTGCAGCTCCCCCTCCTTGCAGCCCCCTGCCCGGAAATTTAAAACAACTGCTCGACACAGTCTTAAATCCTCCAGGAAGGAGCTGGGGTTGGCAGGCAGGAAGCAGGAGGCTGGCCAGGGCCCTGCCTGGAACTCCCTCTCTCCCCAGCTCCCACCCTGAACTCCCCTGAAATACCACCTGCCCCCACAAAGTCTTGCCATGGGCTTCCTGGCCCCCAGGCTTCCCATGCTGGTATTCCTCCCTGGGCACAGCAGCTGCAGCTTGTTGGAATTCCCAGGTAGACAGTAAACATCCAGCGCACAGAATGGTCTTGTCCCCTGCTTGTACCCAGCATTGGGTCTCCCACAGAGCAAATGCATAGTGCATGTATGAAGAGTGAGTAAATGAAGGCACCATGTGACCCTGAGCCATCACTCTGCTCTTTCAGCCTCGGTTTCCTTATCTATGAAATGGGCATGCTAACTCTCACCCAGTCTACTTCCTAGAGTTGTGAGAGTTAAGCAAGAACCTTTATGCAAGTATTTTATTAACTGCAAAGCTGATGAGTCACAATGATTCTGTTCTTGCCTTCCTAGCCTCAGTTTGCTCATTTATAAAATGAGGACCAGAGTCAGGTGCTAGCTAGGGTCCCTCTCAGCTTTGATATCAGACTTTAGCAGGAGATGAGGATGCCCAGACTTTCCTACGCTCCTTAAATACTAGCTACGTGGTAGGGGGAAGGCAGAGGGTGTTGTCAGGGAATTTTTTAAGGTTCAGAAAAGCCACTATTTTAGCTCCAGCATGGCCCCTGACTCACTGTATGATACTTTCTGGGCCTCGGTTTTCTTCTCTGTAAAATGGGAGTGGGTGGACATGGACACAGGACATCTGAAGTGACCTCTAGCATTCAGTTCTATGATGACAGGACATTATGCAGAGCCACTGACAGGTTTTGAGCAGGAGAGGGGCATAGGCAGAGTCATGTTTCAGAGCTCACTCACAGAGGTGTGGGGTATGGGTGAAGGGTAGGGAGATTGGTGTGTAGAGACCTGGAAGGGGGCTGTTGCCTTCGCCTACGCAGCTGAAGACAGCAGCGTCCAGGTCCTTTCCTCATGCTGTGCTCCATGCCCGGGCTGCCCTGCCTCTCCCCAGTATATCTTGCTTTTTAAAACTCATCCCTCTTTAAGACACAGTTCAGGGGCCACCTCCTCTATAAGGTCTTCCCAGATTGTCACTGATGCAGTTGATCTTTTCCTTTTCTGCCATCCAGTTTCCCAGCTCTAGGTATCTTCATCGTGGGACCAGTTTGAATTACTGTTTATGTGTATATGTGTGTGCATACATGCGTGTTCCCTCCTGGGCTGTGAGCTACTAAGGTCAGGGTGGGTGTTCTGCCCATCCCCATATCATCTCCAGCATCCATCACCTGTCCTGGCCCAGAGGAGGTATTCAGTACATGCAAGCAGGATACTGAGGATGCCAGAGCATCCTACCCTTTGAGTTCACCTGCAGGGTTGGAGACTGGGCTCCAGCCTCTGCTTAACTGTTAAGAGCCATGTGACCTTGGACAAGTCACTTCTCCTCTCTGGACCAAGGTGCCTCTTGGCTACATAGAAATGATCTCTGTTGTTCATTCCCAAATCAGGACTCTGAAGTGAGGGCCCATCCTTGAGCCTCTCCCCTGGCACCTCCCTTCAGCATTTCCTTTCCTGTGCCCTGGATCACAGTGATCTGCTACAGTGTGATTCCTACCAAAACCCAAGCTCACGGAAAACTTCATCTCTGGGTCCTGCACAGAGCTGTGCACAAGGAGTACTCGTCAGGCTTGTACAGAGGTGCTCGCCCACTCCTCGGTCCCAAGAAAGGGAGCACAGTAAGACCCCCATTAACAGCGTTGTGCCGTCAAGTGTGTGGCTTTACAAGAGGCCAAGAGCATTCACTGCCCAAGCCCAACTGCAGCCCTGTCTCTGTGTCCCCACCCACCTGCCCAGCCATCCTCCTGGGGCTAGTCTGGCCTCCCCTGAGAGGTGTGGAGAAGGGGTGCTATCAGCCCCGAAAGCAGATGGATCTTTAGCCAGCACTACTCTGCTCCAGGCAAACCCTGCATTCTTAGCCAGAATCTCCTTCTCACTCCCCCGCCCCACGGGCTGGGACAGACCTCAGCCAGCAGGCCTCCCAGCTTTGATCAATACAGGGCAAGCAGCCAAGGCGGCTGCAGGCTCCATCCTCTCAGGAGGCCCCAGCTCAGCAGGGTCACATGGGGGAGGGGCATAAGCCTGGCTCAGGGGCTTTTGGCTGTATGGGTGGGGGACAGGGCAGGGGAGAAAAGGAAAGGCAGGCATCACTCCCAGAGTCATTCATTCCTTCATCCACTCACTCCTCACACATTTGTTCAGTCCACAAATATTTAGTGAGCACCAACTGTACACTAAGCACAGTCATCAGCTCTGGGGACGCATTGAGGACAAGACAGCCGCTCTTGTGGAGCCGATGTTCTTGTGGGGTAGAGAGATACAAGCCAAGTGAACAAAGGAAAATAAGAAGTAGTTTCCAAAAATGATAAAAATAAAATAGGGGAGAGTGACAGAAATTGGGGCAACATTACACATGGTGGTCAGGGTAAAGATGCCCCTCCATGCTGGCTCAGATCAGACTCCCCAAGCAGACTCGAAGGTGGAGATTTGTATGCAGGAAGCCTGTTGGGGCACACTCGTGAGCTCCATACCTGTGGG